AAAAAAATAAGAGAAAAATAAAAAATTGAAATCAACATGAACTCAAAAAAGAAACAAATTAATTGGAAATCAGTGCCCGGCAACGACGCCAAAAATTAATAGATTGTCGAGCCTATGTAATAATAATTACCTACTCAAGAGAAATATATATTTTGTATATAGCGGTGAGTAGGGTCGAATCCACAGGGACTGGGGATAATTCGTTTCTTCTAGAGTTCAAAGTATGGGAAATTTTTTGGAGAATGTGAAATAACTAATTAACTAACTAATGAAACAACTAATAGAAATAAATAGGAATTAATCAATAACCAATACGACTCTAGTCAAAAGTGCAACTCTTCAGACACGGTCCATTCCACCGATCATCAATGCAAAGATAATTCAATTACTCATTACCAGATTGGTTATAGTTGTCATACACGCGATAAAAAACCAGTCTTTCCTTACTTTTTCGATAGTTAAGGTACAACCATTAACTATTTCTCTAACCAAGAAATAACCCTAGGTACGACTATAGGATTTAATTTCTTGATTGCAATAAGAATTAGAAAAATCCAACCCTAACCAACAAACACGCTACGAGGGTTAGTTTAAGTTAAATTATACGTTTCCCTAACATGAAACCAATCACGCTAGTCGCCACTGGTATTACTTAATTGAACAATTACGGATTCAATCAATTAATCTAGCAGTAGATTATTATGTTAATTCGAATATTGGTTTCTTGACATTCAAATAACATAACAAGTATAAGAAGTTAAATCAGAAAACATACAAATACCAATGAATAAAAGAAATAAGTAAAATAATTCGATATCACAAATGTTTGAAACCGAGTCCTCAAATTGACCTTCGACTAGAAAACCGAGATTTAGCTACACATTCTCAAGGGAAATCCACAGGACTCCCTTGATAACCATTTATTCCTTCTCCAAAAACTAATGAAAGAATACAAAGAAAAGAGACAAGTCACGGCCGTCCCTCCCAATTCCTATTTTGTAACTTCTTAAGGAAAAACAAACTCCTCCCGAAATTGCTGCTGGCCAACTCCTAATCAAACGGGAATTCGGCTTTTTCTCTTTTTTTTTTTTCCTATTCAGCTTCTACTACTAATAATAAGATATGTTCCCCAAAATATAAAAAGGAAACTACTAAAAATAATATTCCAAGTTTCCTAATCCAATATTAAGACTAATAATGAAAATTAAAATCTTCAAAATCTTCCTTTAATATTGCCTTGAATTTGATTCGGACTTGGAAACCGGTTCCGAACGTGCCACCATCAAATTAGTTGGAAAATTGCCCCTTTTTGTCACGTTTTGCTCTTTTTCCTACAATCAACACCATTAACCAAATATAAGTAGAATTTATCAATTAAAACAATATTTGACTACAATCAAGGGGAAAATAATTATAAATCTAGCAACAAATTATGACCTATCAGTAGGGATGGCAATGGGTTGAATAAAATCCAATATCCATGGGTATTCGACTCGATGGTTAGTCTGATAAGATGATTGATGGGTTATTGACTAGGGTTGGTGTTAACAAGAAATTACGGAGGGTTAATCCAATAGGATTTAGCACGAGAACCCTAAAATCCCAATACCCTATATATATATATATATATATATATATCTAAGGTTCCAATTTTATCTTTCGATAACACATTTCTTGATTTTGTAACCAAATAGCATATAACTCTAACCCAACACAAATTAAGACAATTATGATTAAAAACAGAAGAATGTCGATTTAACCCTTTATTAAATGTTGGATTTTTCTCATACAAGTTCTATGGCTTTATCCAAGTTTAAACCTCAATGTAGTGTTAATTTAACATGATGTATGTATTGATTTTAATTTGATAAAAATTAATTTTCCTTTTTTGAACTATTCAATTAGTGGGTAGAAGATACCCGATGGACAATCTGAACTCGTATATAAGAGGATTTGGTAATGGGGATTAAAAGCCAGAGGGTTATTGATAGGATTTGATGAAATACTTGCATATGTGGATTAAGATTTGGTAAGATGAATTTTCCAGGGTACTCAACCCACTGCTATTCCTACCAATGTGACACCCTTTGAGCTGATTGTGCACTTCATCCAAGCATTGCAGTTCTTCATCCTCAACATTATCCGTATGGCTTTGCTCAAAATCCAAACACCTTCCATTTTCTCATCATTTTCCCCGTGTCCTTGCTGAAAATGGAAATGGTTTCCATTTTCTTCAACATTTTCCTCATGGGTTCCCTAAAAAACAAAATGAGTTCAATTTTCTTGAGCATTCTCCTTGTGGGTTTACTGAAAAATGAAATGGTTTCCAGTTTCCTACCCGTTTTCTTCATGGGATTGCTGAAAAAATTGATGGATCTGATTTACTTGAACTTGTTCGATGAACAATGCTTGCTTCTCTTGATAAGTTGTTCAAAGATGAAGCTGGTGAAAGAAAGAGATGATTATGTCCTTTTAATTTTGGTCCTGTTCTTAAATTATGGTTAGACAAAAATGACTTTGATTTCAGTTTCATTTACGTCTAAAATGACTAGAAGTTCTTAAACTATGCACTTTTAATTGATTAGGGGCCAGTCGAAGATAAAATTTAGATTAGTGGACAAAACTTGACAATGATAATAGTTTAGGGGCTCTTTAGATTTTTTACTCAAAGAGAAATTTCATTGTACAATATATATTGGGGTTTCACATTCTATGTTGTAGTTTTACTAGTATATTAAGGCCCTATTTGATAACTCAATTAGGTACTTAAATTTAATGAATTCAGATTTTAATATGTTCAAACGTGTTTGATAACCAAAAATTAAATATTTGAATTAATTAATTGGCACTAAATTTTTTAAGTAAAATTTGTTTCCAAAAATTAATCATAAACTATTCATTTATCACTTAATATAATATACACTCAAATATATCAGATTTAGTACCTAACAATTCAATAACTTAATGAATTCAGACTTCATATTTTAGATTTCAATTTTATCAAACGCACTCTAAGTCTTATAGCATGTTTTAACTACACTTGTTATTCATTTTCCAACGACCATTTGTAGATATTAAATACATGGACATGTGTTGCCTTGATACATGATGTAAATTATGATAGAAAACGTAATGTTAAAAGTGCAGAAGAAATCAAAAACCTCAACAATTACAAATGACACCAACCATTATTAGGATGTCAAATGAGAAAAGACGTGATCTTAATATATGGTGTAATGAGGAGGCAATACCAAAAGTTTAATAGACGAGTTAAAAACTGATCGTGTACATGTCTTGCCTTCCACTTTGCTTTCACCTTCTGCGCTCCTTTGAAGGCAGCTCAAACACTACAATGGAGGGTATAAAGCCCTTTTCGAAGCGCCGATATCAATCCCCAGATTGATGATTTCTTGTACATTTTAATAAGCCTCAATCATTGTTCTTTCTATTCGCCATCTCTTTATATATGATGCCAAAACTTCCTAGTTTTGTCAGGGAAAGCTCCTAGCCGGGGAAGTTGATAGTGGTGAGCTTCCCTCTCTTTTCACCCATCTTAATTGTTTTCCCGTTATTCTTTCCTTCCCCATTTACATTTGTATCTCATACTTCATTATGCCAATACATTAAAATCCCTGTTTCTTGAAGATCCTTCTGCAGATCCAAGTTGATGGACAATTCAATGAATTCGTGGTTCTCTGAATTGGTAAACATTTTCCAACTTTCACTGATTATGATGACTTCTTTTTTCCCTCATCAATTATAGACATTGAAAAACTAAGAGGTACAGCTCCGGCCCGTGAATGCATTGACCACCACAGGGCTTTCCTTGCTTCTTTCAAGTATTGTGGGTTAAAACAAATAGCTTGCCTGTGGACTTGACATCCCCCAATGCCCTTATTATTTAGGCACTTTGTTTTATTACTAGCTCGAATTTCCCTTGCCTTACAAGCTAAAAAGTTTTCTGCGCAACAAAACGAAAAAAAAAAAAAAAGAATGCTTAACAGATTTTGTTGTCTTAACAAATAGTTTTTCCAGAAGAAATTTTATGTAACATTTTTTAAATCCATTGCGAAACTAGGAAATTATCGCTCATTTAGTTTTTCTACAAATACGACTGGTTAGGAGCCAAGTGCTGAGAGCATTAGATACAGGGAATGGAGGATAAAAAATATGAAAAACAAAAGACAAACATGGAGGTAGGTATAAGTTGCCTTAGTTGCTGCTTCAAATTATTAGCTAAGGAATAAATTAATATAAATATAATTTAGTACACTTCATGATCTAGCATTAAGCTTAAATTATGAACCAAATATGTGGTCAAGAAGGGTCCAAGTGTTTCATCAAATACGTTTAATCTAGATTACTTGGTGGACTAAGTAGTCAAATAAAGTTCAGTGTCATTATTAACTTCCAGTTGGGCGTTGCTTTGATTTTCTGATACTGTAAAATTATAATGTGTCCATGTATATCAAAAAAGCTAAAAAAAAAAAAAATGCATAGGGAAGGGAATAACGAGAGTGGTTGATACCAATTCAACAAAGTGTATTAAGTCCTCTGTTTTCATTTGCATTTCTGAGATGTTGCCAAGAAATCAATTAGGGCATAATCACCAATCTCTAGTGTTATAACAGATGCAGCGGAACAGAAGAACAAACAAGAATAGACAAGAACAACTTGGGGGAAATCAGATTTTATTAGGGTTGTGATTGGAATAGTTTACAGACTAAAATAAGGTGTATATATATACAACCAAACATTCTGGACCCAAAAATAGGCCCAAAACAAGATCCAAAATAAAACAGACACGGTAACTAATATATACCGTAAGCTCAACATCTAGGCATCTCAACATCTAGGTCCACACACACACACACTCTTACAAGCAATGGACTTCCTACTAATGATCCAATAAAAATGTTGATCGAGTTTTAAGGGCTATGAATCATGATTATCTATCAAATGCTTGTAGAATATTCAATCTTTCACTTTAACTACAGGAAATGGAGGATCCATTTGTCGATGATCAATGTGATATCATGGACTATTTTGATGAAGATTTCACTGCTGCACTTGGAGAAGATCTGGAAAGCAATTTGTCTGCTGTTTCAGCCATGGAAGCTCCTCCAATCAGTATTGAAATCCCAGCACCACAGCAGAATTCTAATAGCTGTAACTCGGCAGCCACCCTTGAAAACATGCCAAATCATCACAATCAGCCAATCATCCTTACTTTTGGGAATCCAAGCACGCCAGAAATAAATCCTCAACCATTAAATCTAAAGGATGATGGAGTAGTGTCTGAGGTTTTGACATCCCATGGTTCATTTGTAAATCTTGAGGAGGCAGCCCAAAATGCACGGAAGAAAAAGAAAACAGGCGGCCGGGTTAGGCCAGCATCGCAGATTCGTGATCACATTTTAGCAGAAAGAAAGCGCCGCGAGCAGCTCAGCCAGGGATTTGTAGCTCTATCGGCCATTGTTCCCGGCTTCAAGAAGGTTTGTAGTATTTCCAAGAATCCAATTTTTTAAATAAAGAAAATAAACAGACAAAAATTTTTCTATCATTGTGATATTTCAAATGTTTAATGCAACCAAATTTTGTGATGTCATGTCTCACGTCAAAGGGGGCTAATTTAATTAATCCCACGACAAGTTATTCAAATATAAAGTGTGCTGTTGATTTTCCGGATCGCGATTACTATAAAGAAACAGCATAACCTTCTATCATTGCTCTCTCTCTCTCTCTCTTATACACAACTACTCTATTAGTAGTTGTTTTTAGCCACTAGGCTTAATTTTGCTTTTTTTTTTTTGGAGCTTCACATAGTTTTGGTTACCAAGATCTTATTCTTATTGCAGATGGATAAAACTTCTTTTCTTGGAGATGCTATCATTTACTTGAAACATCTTCAGGAAAGAGTGAAGACGCTCGAGGAGCAGGTTGCGCAACAAACCATGCAATCTGTCGTTCTAGTGAAGAGATCACAGCTTTTAGTTGAAGATGAAGGATCTTCTGATGATACGGGCGGCCCTGATGAGCAGCCACTCCCGGAAATAGAGGCAAAAATGTGCAATAGGAACATTCTTCTCAGGATTCACTGCGAAAAGCATAAAGGGGTTCTGGTTAAAATCCTTTCCGAGGTAGAGAAACACAATCTTGCTGTCATGAACACGTGCGTGGCTCCGTTCGGAAATTTCGCTCTTGATATTACCATAATTGCTGAGGTGAGTTTAGCAGTCAGAGAATTTTTTTCCTTGGGATTTTGTTTACATGAATATTGAATGTGATGATACATGGTTACACATAAAGAATTGCAGCAGAAGTGAGGTAGACTTCCACATGCTAGAAGCAAGGTAAAAATATTGAAAAAGAGATATTGTTGCTGGGGGATTTGAAGTTTTGAACCAGCAAATCTCACCCCGAGAGAGCTAGTCACCAATTTTTATGTTCGATAATCTATTAGTAAATTTCAATGTTTACAATTTGTTCTAAGTATTGATTTCATTAAATCTTTCCAGATGGAAAAAGAATTCAGCCTGACAATCCAAGAATTAGTTAAAATTCTTGGATCCGCTGTCCATCGGGGGACGGTGGCCGATTAAGAGCCCCCGGTTGGACCGCCAAGAGAACTGTTCCATATCCTATGGGATCCGACAGATGCAATGGTGAAGAAGACAGACGACGTTCACAGGCCATACTTTGAGATTGACAACATATGGATGCCTATGCATATTAGTACTTGCCCGGTTTTAATGATCAGGAATGAAAATTACTATCAAGATTAGACTAAAAAAAAAATAAAAGGCCTACCTCCTCGAGGGTCTCGTGAGCTTTCGATTGATTTTCGTGTGTAGCTATTTGGCATTGCACGTAGACGATACAAATATACAAAATGTTACTGGTTCCCTTTAGATTACATTTTTATGAGGTATTTTGGTAAATTTTTGGGTTTGTTAAGATTTTTTTTTTTTGGTGTTTTCACAAATTTTGATTTGTTTCGACTATTTTGAGTAGCTTTAGAAGCTTTTGATGTAGACATTGTAACACTTGTTACGATTTAATGTATAGTTGTATGTAATAATTATAATAATAATACTAATAATAAAAGGTGTTACAAAAGCAAAAAATGATTGTAGCACTGCTAGCATATCCTATCTTAAGGAATTTTCTTCAGTTGATATTCCACTTATTAGGGCCCATTAATTTGATGATGAAAGGTTTTCTTTTTTCTTTTATTCCCTTCATAATCAAGAAAAAGAATAATTGTTTCTTTTATTTCCTAATGTTCAATCAAAATCAAAACATGAGATGTTCTTTACAGTAATACACGGCTTATGATTAACGACTTAGTCAATCCACGTGTTTAGAAAGCCATTATTAGCTGATGTCTGATGATTAGAAAGAATTGACAAAGTCTGCATTCTGGTCATTGATTGATGAATCTCACAAGTCGTGTGGACAGTACTCTTCGACACCATGTGATACTCTCGGGTGCTACAACGTGTTAAAGTACACTTTGATGCCCACAACAGCAATGAGATGTTTTTGCATGATGAATCTTGAGTAGCCAAATACTTGCTAATATATTTCAATTACCAAGAACTATACAAGTTTGAATAGCCATGTTTGAACTATCAATGCTCTTGCATTCAACATTATCTTTATTCCAGTTACATATTGAAAGCGGTTGAAAATGGAATAGGGTGTGGCATATAACTGAAACGAATGGAATGGATGGCTGGTGATTGAGGATTATGCGTACGAAGCAACCAGTATTGTGGTAGGATTTGTAAGCACCTGTGCGGAACTATCGCAGTAATTTGTTGGGGTTACTAATACATCTAACTCTACTCTACTAGCCATCAATGTTTTTAAAATCAGATGGGAGAGGGAATTGAAGGAGCTTTTAGTTCACGATTCAACCGGTTTGATTGATTCAACTCCGATATAAAGGTTTAATAATTTTTTATTTATTCTGGTATTAATAATTTTAATAAAATTGAAATATTTGTAAAGATAAAAATTTAGCGAATTTCAGTTCAAAATCTCTGTTTCTACCCATTTTTACCATTCCAATCGATTCTTGATCAAGTTTAGTTGATTTCATTGAATTTTTGAATTAACTATTGACTCGAATTAGAAGTATAATCAATTTGTTCTTCCATTAATTGAACCGACTAGTCTAATCCGATTTTCAAAATAGTAGTAGTCATGGTAATGGTCTTTCTCAAGAGAAACTTTGCAATATCCACTTAACTAGTACATTGTAGCTAGCATTACCCTTTGGTCCGTGACAGGTGCCGAACCTGTGCAATAATAAATACCTGCTCAAACAAAATATAATTTCTGTATATAGCGGTAAGCAGGGTCGAATCCACAGGGACTGGGGAAAATTTAATTTCTTCTCAAGTTTCAGATATGGGGGGTTTTTGAAAATGAGAGTAACTAAATTACTTGGAATGAATTAAAATAAAATAAAATAACTACAACTCAAATAACTAATTATCACAATAAAAATAATAATGGACGAACTCTAGCCAAGAGACAACTTCGGAGATGGTTCACTTAATTCGATCACAGATGCAAGGATTATTCCAATTACAATCTGATAAATTAGTTATAGTTGTCATACACGCGATAAACAACCAACTCTTCCTCAATTTGTCGATAGCCAAGGTACGACCGTTGACTATTTCTCTAATCAGGAAATAACCCTAGGTACGACCATAGAAGTTCAATTCCCTAATTGCATGAATAATTAGAAGAGCCTAATTCTAACCAATCAACACGCTACGAGGGTCTCTTTAAGTTAGCCTGTCTATCTCCCTGACACAAACCCAATCATGCCAGTTGCCACCAGTTTAGGATAATTAAACAATTACGGATTTAACTACCCTAATTGGCTTCAGGTTATTGAATTAATCTAGAATCCGGGCCCTGGATAATCGAATAACAAAACAACCATATGAACATAAAGCAGAAGATAGACAAATACCAGTGAATAATGGAAATAAATAAAAACTAATTCGATCTCACAAATTTAGTAGAACCAAATCCTCCGTTGTTCTTGACTAGACAAACTTAGCCACGCCTCATGAGAAAATCTTCAAGTAATTTCATTGAGGTCCAGGCCATCAAAAGAGCCAAGAAAGAAAAAGAAAACTAAAACTATGCTAAAAACTAAGCTAAAACTCGCCCTTCAGCCTTTCTTACTATTGTCCTTATATAGCCAAAAGGATACATGACACAAGGCTTTCCTTTATCCCGTGGTCCCCGCACGAATTGAGAGTCCAATTCCAATTTTACAAGCCTTGTACGTTTCTTTCTCATTTTAAAGTCCAAAAGGAATGATGACTCCAAATGCTCTTATCCCGTGGTCCCCGCTGAGATTGAGAGTCAAACAAACTCATAAGAAAAGCCTGCCGAATTACTCCTTGTTTCCTAATGTTCCTAGGACTCCTTGTACCAGCCTTCTCTTCATCAGCTCAAAAGGGAAGCCGTTTGTTTGATCTCTTGTGGGACACGTTGAGGGAGCTTCGCAGGAGACTCCCACTTGTGAAGTAATTTGCTTCAAAAAGTCCCTGCTTTTTGTAGTTTTCTGCTCCATTCCCTGGAATTAAGTCCAGATACCAAATATAAGTAAATATCAACAATTAACACAATATTTGATACGAACAAAAGGGGAAATTAATAATAAAATTGCAAACAAATAATGCCCTATCAATTCCCCCCACACCTGAATCAGGCTTGCCCTCAAGCATGAGAATAGCATTTGAATACCAAAATTTTGACAATGACTATCGCTCCAACTACCGTATTGCCAAGATACCCAGAAAAACATACATCAAGCATCACAGGTCAAGATCAAAGAAAATTACTCCGGTTAGCTTCCCAACCACCAACTTCTCCAATTTAAAACAAGCTAATCTAAGAAAAAGGAATGGTTGTTCACATTTATCAGCAAATGGTCCAACTACTAACCAAAATCTCGACATTAAGATTACAAACCGGCAAGCTGACTTATTCACACACTAACACAATCTTTATTTCACTTTTTTTTTTCCTTTTTGTTTTTTTTGTTATTTTATTTTATTTTTTTTTTTTGTTTTTTTTTTTTTGTGAATAACAAAAGACTTAATCTATAGCCATTAGAGCCTTTTGACGCGAACTCCAACATTTCACAGATGGAGGAGCCCGGTTACTCAACTCCAATCGCTACGGGACCACGCACTCATAGTAACTACTACCTTTTGACGCGAGAATCGATACTTTAGGTGAAGATCCCCGGTTACTCAATAGTAATCACTAGCGGAGTACAGTCAACTCTTATTTATAACCATATAGCACAAAAAATAACAGCAGCCAGCCTCAAATTTCCAAACATGGAGAACTAAAATTAATAAATGGACCAATTCACATGAAAAATGCCAACAATCATTCCCCATGCTTAGAAGAGTTAACCAAAAATAGGAAAAGTTAAGCAATTATTGATATTCACCAAAGAGATATTCCTGAACTCAACCACATCAACTTGATACCTTTTTAATAAACTTGGCAATAGCAAAATTAGAGACAACCATCCGGTATCAAAACTTGGTATTCATATAAAAACTGACCACTAGGAAAAGAAAAGAAAAGAAAATAAATGAAAAGGAGATAAATATCCGACTTAAAACAAAGGAAAAAACACCTAAAAAAAATCGAAAATTGAAAATACTAGCACCCAAAACTGACCCCCCACACCTAATTCACACATTGCCCTCAATGTGATAAATACAGTAATAGTAAGCAAAAGAGCAACGGTACTTCCCTGAAATCACGGGGACCATGGCGGGGCCACAGCAGTGGGTGAGGCGAGGGATGGTTGAGTTGGGTTGGAGTAGGCTAAGGTCAAGAGGTTCTGGACCAAGAAGAGAACCTTGATCTCACTATTGCCGCAAATTAGCAATTTAAAGCCCTGAGCAATTTAAGCCCAACAAGTCAATCAATACCAGAAAATCATTCCAAACAATGTACCAGTTAAACTCCACGGGCAAAGGACGTCCAACCAATTTCACTCAAGCAAACTAGGAGCAATGCGACTGATTAAACAAAGCAACAAATTTCAGCAAGTGGACACAAATTCAGCCAAGATCTCAACAACTGGTTTCAACTTGACAGCCAATTACCCAATCTAAATTCCAGCAGCAACCGAATATTATTCGATCAAATTCCAAGAATTTCAGGCAATCGCCGTGACCAGTACCACTGGTGCATATACAAGAAGGGATGAAATCAAACGGCCAGCAATATAGCAGCAATAACAATAGGCAAAAAATCTCAACCAGTACCACTGGTGAGTCACAGGGAAAAATTAAATTCAATAACAAACCCCAACCAACAAAATGCACACTGTAGGCACCCAAGGTCGAGACAAACTTCTCAACAAAGCATCAATTATAGGCACTAAGCAATTAGGGTCCCAACGTAGTCAAGCACAACAACAAGTCAGCCCATCAATTCAATTAATAGCAGAAAACACCCCCACAGATAGCAACAATCAAACTCAATTCCGTCCAAACTGATTCCGCAGAAATTACCCAATGAATTTAACTGCTCGAAACGCCCTCACAGAAAACCAACCCCAAAATGTGCAGGAGAAACCCCAAATAAATCAGCAGATGATAAATCAAGAAAATTATCCCAATTGCAAATCAATTCCAGCAATTAGTTTCTAGAAATTGCGAAGGGGGAAGGGCAAGCAATACCTCCACCTGTCAATTTTTGACAGGTGGCGAAGGTGCGGCGAAGAGGAAAAGGTGAGAGAGGGGGTCGCCTGCGCGGTGGTACTGGAGGCGTCGG